AAAAAAGGAAAGTCCTGAACTCTGCTCCATGTGTGCAGATTTCGCGAAGATAAAGGAGCCCACAGCTTTATCCAGCCATGCTGACTCTTTTCTTTTCCAAAGCCTTTTCAGATGTTTTCACTTTTCTGCTTGCTTTGTTGAAAGATGTAAAAATTTAAGACAACCACAAAGTAAACATTTCAAAACTTTCTATTCTGAAAATTAGCGACATTTTCAAAATCCCCCAAATTCCGTTTCTGCATGATCCGAAATGAAGATGTTTGGCATTTCTTTGGTTGGCGGCAGACTTTTGTTTGTTGATAACCTTTCTTCTATTTTTCCAAGAAAACGGATCGGTTATTCAGTAGTAACACCAGATAAGTCGATGTCTTGTCAAAATAAAGCAGGTTTTCCTTATTAGAGTGAAATAGTAATGAACTCATCTGCTTCCAATATTTATAAAGAGTAGAGAAGCCCATTAATTCTACTGCTTGTGAATAAAACCATCTGTGATTTCTTTCCATTTGATGTGTTTTGGTTTTAATATACATTTTTCACAAATAAGTGTAGGGATTTTTTGTGAAAATGTCACATTCAGAATCTCATAAAGAAGGAACGCAAAGAGGGGGAAACGAAATGTTTTGTTAGCTAAGTAATTTCTCACCTTGTGCAGAGAATAAAATTCATGCCAACTTTAACACATTAGGCGACAGAATTACATGTTCGGCTCTAATGCAATCCATGACATGTAACGAGGCAAATAGAGCATGTTTGGAAGTTTGTTTTCCTTTGGGAATCACACAGTACATCTAACCTAATCTGCCCTGACACTTGAATTATAACATTATGAGCTTCTTCAGGGAAGCAAAATGGTAGATGCCTCTTTTTAAAGCCAAGCAGAAATTAATACAGCGGGCGACGCGCGGGGAAGAAAGGCGATGGCATCGCGGCGCTCTGCGGCCGTGGGTCCCGGCTGCAGCTCTCGGGTGTCTCACGACATTCTTCTACCAGAGGCGAAATCTGACCTCTAGAATTATGCTCCATTAAACCAAAACGTGAGAACGCCCCGCGTGGGACCGCTTTGTAGTTTGACTCGTGAGTGTCGGATCTTAAATTAAAATGAGTATTCATCCAGCTGCTCTGCCCTGGTTTTTTACAGCCTTCCCCCCAGCCCGTGCTGCAGAGGCAGCTCCGTGTCACGGTTTCCAGAAGAACTCCCGCGGTGCAGAGCAGTGCCGTGCAGCTCACTCGGCCCTGCCAGCCGCCCCCACCCCACGCAGCCCCGCGGGGCCACTCCATGTCCCGGCCGTGGGACCCTCAGCGCTGCTCTGATGGCGCTGGGGTGAGCGCGGTGTGATGCCGTGAGGCTGCGCTGCAGGGGGTGCAGCGATCAGAGTGCTTGTGGGCAGAGCAGCGCTGTGAGTCCCCGTGTGTTACCTCTCCTGCTGCTGAAAAAATCACATCTTCTTGGTTGTTTTTTTCTCTCCTTTTATTTATTTATTTATTTTTTTCCCAATCATCAATAAAATCTTACTTTGGATAAGCTAAATAAAGCTTTTATTGGAAGGTGAGGCCACAGCAGTGCTGGGTGCAGCTTCTAAGTGGTGCTTTCAGCTGCAGCCAGGGGGACACGGCGCTGCCAACCTGCATGGCTGATCCCATGCACACGGGGATGTGTGCACTGGCACACACAGAAGATGCTGTCCCGGCTGCCGTGCAGCCCTCGTGCTGCGCCTCTGCCCGGCCTGCACTGCTCTCTGCTGTTTCCACAGCTGTTGGTTCCTCGGTGTGGCAAAGGCCAACCACAGGTAAGAGGAGTGTTTGTCTCTTGGGGGAGTTTCCATACTATGTGCAGCGGCTGAGCCTGCCACTCTCCTTCGTGCAGTTTGTGCTTTTACTGTTTAAATGAAGCTTTCAGCTGCCTGGACTTCAACTTTACTAAAATTCAGTGTACTAATGGAAGGTTCTTGATGTGTTTTATTAGATATCTTTCATTCCGGTTTGGATACAGGGACAGCGTTTTGCCAGAGCTGCAGCCGCTGCCGGCCGTGGGCGCTTCCTCCCTCCACGGCCCCCCGCTCAGCCCCATCCGTGCAGGACTGGCAGAGCCACTGGGAGCGCCTCGTGAGCGCTGCGCCGCTGCACTGCGGCCATTGAGGGCTCTGCCGCGTCTGAGCCGGCGCGGTGCCACCGCCCCCAGCCGTGCGGCACACAGGGGTGGCTCTTCTGAGGTGGTGCTGGAGGGTGGGCACAGTGCCCACAGGGGCGATGAAGCATGAAGGAAATGGAGGCGGGGGGCTGAGGCACCACGAGGTCACGTTAGGTCGTCTTCCTGCCAGGGGAGCGCTCCCAGCAGGAGTGCCTGGAAAGGCAGCGCCCAGACAGCAGCCAGGAGCCCCGCGCTGCAACGTGCTGCAGCCCTGTGGCAGCAGCTATGGGCTCACTTGGGCGGACGGATGGACGGACAGCCGCAGTGCTCCCTGCAAGACCTGAGGAAGGCCAGTATAAGGCTGTGCTCGGTCCAGCTAAGCACTGAGGGCGTGGGGACGTTTCCTGTGACTGAGCTGTACCTGAATTGCTCAAAGGTTTTATGCCCTCCCACAACCCCTGGCAGCTGCAGACAGGAGCCAGCTGATGGACTCAAAGATCTCAATGCAAACTTTTTGCCTGTTCTACCTCTGAATTCCATTTTCTGCCCAAATGCCTACTTGTATGAAACTTGTAGGAACTTAATTATCCTTGAGACTTCTGCTTCTCTATGAAATCTGGTTCAAATCAGTTTAAAAAAAGAGTTCAAAGTGGTTGGGCAGGCTGGGCAGACAGACAAGCACGCAGGGATCACAGGAGCCTTGTTTTTGTAGGAAACGAGATTAAAAAGATCCCACGGCAGCACGGAGCTCCGTCGGTGCACCCCCGGCAGCGCTGGGTGCGGGGCTCAGCTCGGCACAGCCGCACAGCCGCACTCAGACCGGGAGCATCGGCCTCAGCCTGACTGCTGCTCCCAGCTGGACACAGACGCGGAGCATCCCTGCTCTCCCTGCAATGCAGACCTGTACCTAATTTCTTCTGAAAAGGGCCCTGAGGAAGTCAGCAGATGTTATTATTAAAGCACTGAGTATCAGCAGCTCCCGAGATATTGTCAGTTCGTTAATGAGCTGATCAAACCGTGGAAAACAAGGGGTTTCCCAGCCTCCTATTAAGGAAAATAAGACCTCCAAGGTTAAAAGACTTCTTTTAAACTGCACCAGGTTTATAGGTTGCCAAACGCTCTTTAATCAGTTTGCTCTTAGAAGGCCCTTGCTGTCCAGGCGCAGGAATGGGCGTTATCCCAACCGATCCCCAGAAGGAAACTCAGCCGCTCCGTGCTGGGAGCGTTTGCTGACATTTTGCTTGCCAATATCTTCTTAACCATTCCCTGCAGTTATTGCAAATATTTGGTGAATTCTCTGCATTTCCCTGCCAACAGCTCTGCCTGCAGACTTCTGCTGATTTGTGAATTACTGTTCCCCCATTTGAAAGTTAAGCTCATTTGCCTATCAACACATTTGTATTCTGTTTGGCAACCGCCGCATCTCAGAGGTTTCCCAGGGCTGCAGAAGACACAAAACACGTGAGTGAGAAATGGCCTTGAACCAGAGACTGCCTGCATCTCTTCTCTGCACCATCTCACTCCTGAACCATTCCTGTGTTGGGAGATGCACCAGCTCAGCTCAGACAAAAGCAATGGGAAATGGGAGCCCACTCCATTGGGTCTTTTGCTTCATGCTACATTATCTGGAAACTCCCTTGGGGTTGTTCAGCTGCAGGGATATTTAGGATTTAGGCAGTGGTGCTGATGAGATTAGAGTAGCTGGGAGTGTAGGAGAACCATTTGTTACTTCTGTAGTTCAACATAAGATCACAACTTGCCTTGAAGGCATATTACCACTACTGCCATGTGAGTCTGGTCCAAGGCCTGGCCAGGACAAACCCTCATCGCGGGGAGCTTCATTGTATCTGAAAAGTAATGAGGTAAGTGGCTACGGAGAAATGCTCAGACAAAGAGAACACAGAGAAGGCTCATTTTTATCCCCTCCATCTACTCACTGATGTGAGGAATAAAAAAAGAAAAAACCAAACCTCCATGCAGGCAGTGTGTGTGCAGCAGTGCCGGTGTGGCCCCGGCCCGGGGAGCGCCTCCACGCGGGGCAGCAGCGCACAGCACTGCAGCTCAGTGAGCAGCAGGGACAGTTATTTCTGCGCAGATGGATTTATGCCATCAGATAGGCTGTGACTGCTGTAAATACGTCCTTTGCTATGCAACACTGAGGAAGGGACACGCAGATAAATTAACCCTGAAATAGAGCGTATGATTTTAAAGATGGAAAGGGTTGTGCGTCCCTGCTGTGTTTCAGTCAGTTATGTCTAAGGGTATCTCCTGAGCTGCAGTTCCATGGAACATTTCTGACATTACCAGTCATTTTAATCATAACCTGTGTCATTCACTGAAACTTTACAGTCAATAGACAAACAGCTGCCAGATTATGCCTCAGCATCCAAGAAATACCACTCGCATCCCACCTGCCCAGCCCCGCGCCTTCCCCTGCTCTGCCCCAGGTGGGCTCCTCTGTGCTGCACAGCGCAGGACCCCCTGGCAGTGCTGGGGAGCAGAGCCTGGAGCCCAGCCGCGGTTCCTCAGCCCTCACTCTGAGGCCACCACAGAACCAATGGGCCCCAGCTGAACTAGGAGCATTGAGTCTGTGCTGATGGCCAGCAGGTGTCCTTCAGTGTTCTGGATCATTTGTGATGGCTTCAAACTATAACATGCAATAAAGAAACAAAAAACCTCAAAGAACATGTGGGAAAACAACCCGAAGAGCTGAGCTCCAGGCCTGCTCGTGGCAGAGGGCACTGACACGTGTGCCAGGATTGCTGCCAGCTGTGGTGCCAGCACACACAAGGCCCACAGGTGTGCATGGCCAGGCTGGGTTCTTTAAGTGAAAACTGAAAAAAAGCTGTCCTCTGGGTGGGAGGGTGGATAGTTCATTTGCCCTCATCTATTTCAGGTGTGGAGCCAATTAGCAGCCATTTGCAGGATGGTTGTGTTAGAGCTGCTGCTTCCTTCCAAACTGTGAGTATCAGTTCTATTTTTTCATCTTTAAAAGTGACTTTGTGATTAGCCTGGAATTCTTCAGGAAGAGGCAAAGGCCGTGCTGGTTTGGGTTAGATTGTTTTGTTAAATCTCAAAAAACCTGTTTTTCATTAAAGGAAGTGCATTGGCTTCTGGGGAAATGGCCGAAGACCTTTCCCCTTCCTGGCGTTCAGAGCATTGTGCGGGTTTGAATTTGATTTTGTTTTCCATTTAAGCATTTGAAGCTTGGCTGCCTTCTTGCTTCTCTGAAGCTTGGAGTGCGTGGAGGAGATGGATGTTTGCTGCAGGCTGTGGGAGCCCTGGCTCTGTGGGCACTTAGGAGCTGCCTGCCCAACAGCTGACCAGCCCAAGAGTGTTGAGCAAATGGGCGTGGGGGGGAAGGCTGTTTTTCTGGGGAATTTGAAAAGTTGCTGGTGGAGCAGAAACCTTGCTGTGTGGGTTAAAGGTAGAGTGAGTTTTACTGCTTAGTGTTTGATTGGCTGCCTTTTCCCCCTCAGTACAGTAGCTTGCGTTTGGTTTGCTCTTGCACGGTTTTTGAGTAGTGATGCTGCTGGGTGCCCATGGTCAAATCTATGAACTCTTCTAGAAGCAAACGTTCATCTTGCTGTGTGAATCCCCCTCAGTGCCAGTGGCATTCCTGTTGTGTTTCACCTGGGCTGAAGAAGTCATTTTGGCTCTTTAAATATCTGGAGGCCAAATGAGCTGTGTGTGCTTGAATGTACGTGCAGCAGTCTGGCTGTACTGGTATTGACTTGCGTAAACGAAGCCAAAGACAGCGATTCTTCACGGAGCTTTCATCGTGCCGTGGGGCTCCGGACCGTGGGCTGTTCCAGGAGGTGGAAGCAAGGAGCCCTGCCAGGCACAGGGCTGCCTCAGGGCAGGAATTCCTTCCTTGTGGGCTCTGAGTAGGACTGGTGGATGCACCATTCTGTGCTCTTGCTGTTCTTTGGGCATTGGCTCTTGGCTGGGTCAGAGCCTCAGTTGGACAACTTTGTTCTTTGACCTCTCTTAGGCACTTTCATTTGCAAGTAATGGATTTAATGTGGAATGTTCTCCTACAGAATTTCTGTTATGAGAGATGCAGAGCAGGAGAGGGAAGCGGGAACTGAGCATAGCAAAGCTCTCCTTGTGCTCAGCTGGGAGCAATGCAGGGGCTGCTGCTGATGTCCTCCTGGTCGCTGTGCTGCAGCCCCACGTGTTGTTATGGTTCTGTGTAACTGTTATGGGACTAAAAGCTTAGAAAACACAAAGGCGCTTCAGGGAACTGAAAAGGGCACAAGGTGTGGGGAAATCTGTTCTCGGAGAGCTACTTTAGGAGAGGGAATGCTACAACTGGAAAGAGAAGATGCCTCTGTGCTGAGGTAGCTTGGTTTTTGTTGGACTTTTTGGTCCTTCGGGGGCTGCTTTCTTTGGTTGCTGTGTTGGATGTTGTCTGGGTTGTGTGTTCTTGTAGGGCTTTTTTGTTGGATCTCTTTTTTTTTTTTTTTTGTCTTATGATAACACCAAGAGGAAACCAGTGCAACTTCTGGCAAATTGGAAACAGGCCTGAGTATTGGACTTTACATTGATGGTACTCAGGTATTAATCCATTAAAGTAATCAAAAGAGCTTAAATAAGAATCTGAAGGCTGCAATATATATGTCAATGAACAAGCTGTAAAACTTCCTGAAAAGGTGATTTCAAAGCCATATTGCCCAAGCTTGGCAAATTGCATATTTAATTATTTTGTCAGTCCCTCTTTCTACTCTAATCTTCTGGTGAAATACCTTTAGACATATGAAATCAGTTAAGATAATTAGGGTATGATGGAATTAGGTGTGACTTGATTTTTAAGAAAGATACCATCCTCTGCCTCAGTATAAAATGTGTGCAGACCCCAAAAGCGAGACTGTATTGTGATGTTTTCTTTTCTATAAAGATCAAAGGTCTCCAGCCCCTTTCAAGATGCTTGCAGAATTTGTTTCCTAATTATCTCACATTTACTTATGTGTGTGCTGGGACATCAGAGTTAACTCTTTGATTGTAAAGATGAGATGGGGCCATCATCCAGATGACGGCAGCTGAGGCCTCCATCTCCAAATTGTTTTTCAGATTACCCGGCTCCGCTAATTCTCACGTCCCGTTTTAAAACACGGCGATGAGGTGTTGTGTTTGCTTTATTTAATACCCGCTCCTCTACAGCAAAGATTTGTTTTTCCTCGGTAAGAGTTTACACCTTCATTAATATCCTTTACGAGTTTACGTGCTCTTCACAAGCAATAGTAAACTATTGGGGCTTTGATTTGTCTGCGGGTCGGAGCTGTTTTCGCCAAACCTTTATGATCTTTCCATGATGTGGTGCCTGAGTTTCTTCAGGAGAAATTTCTATAAAAGTTTTGAAATTAGAATTTTTTGGCTCACTTCATTGTCTTTACTTTCCCCCCATCTAGAGAGGAATAAAAGAGCGACAGACGCACAGAAATGTGAAAACAGGCTGTAAGGTTTGCAGTTCCAGTTGTGAAGTTACAAAAATAAAGTTGATTAGAATAGCATGAAATCTATAAAATAAAGAGTAAAAGGTTTATAGGGGAAGTCTAATATGAAACATTTTTAAACAATGTGTTTTATTTACTTTTTATACATTTCCTTTCTCATATTCTTTTGAACTTTTTTGAATCTTCTCATATGTTTCCTAATTACATTTGCCTCTCCGACTCCTGTCGGTGTTTTTTGCCGTTGTACTGATGGGGCTGATGGTTATTTTTCTTTTTTTTTTTTTTTTTTTCCCTCTGTTGAAAAACAAAGATGCTGTCCTGGGCTTATCCGGGGGAATGTTCAGGGGGAAAAAAGCGAGGACAACGCACAGCAGAACTCAGAGATGACGAATACCGGAGCGGCCCCGCGCTGGGCTGACGGTGACCCGTCCGCTCGGAGCTCCGAGCCGGGCGGAGCCGCGGTGCCGTTCTGGAGCCGCCCGCCGCCCCGTGGAGGCCGCAGCGCGGAGCCGCTCGGCTCCGCCCGCACTGCGTGCCGCGATCCCACAAAACCGCTCCTCTGCGCCCGGAGCCGCGGCACGCCGGGGAGCCGCCCCACGTGGAGCGGCGGGCGATGCTCGGCGGCCCCGCAGAGGTTTCTAAGGACGCCGGCTGTCTCGCGCTGCCCTCCGAAAGAGCGCCTCGAAGCGCGGCTCCGTCCGTTCCCCGCGCACAGCCGTGCCCGCGCTGCTCGCCCCGCCGTGGCCGTGAGCGCTGCCCGGCGCGGCCGCGCGTCCCTCCGTGCGGTGCGGAGAGCGGCCGCACAGCGGCACATCGCGTTCCAACGCTGCATTTCGCGGCGCTGTTTTTCTCTCCGCAGGGCGTTTCTCCACAACTCACCGTTTTAATCCTTGCTCTCCGTTTCTTTGTTCGGCTGGAACGCTTTTGTTCTCTGAGCGTTTAGTGACACGGGAACCTACAATTCTCTTCGCCCTCTGCATTAGGGACGGTTTTATTTACTCGGTACTGAGGTACATACTTTTGTTCCCACCCCACGGAGTTGAGTCGTTCCGTGATGTTGGCCATTATCTGTGATTCTGGTGGCATCCCTGGTGGGTTTTTACACGACGTGCCCATCCGGAAGGTGTCAGCCAAATGTTGTGGGTGTAAATCTAACTTACAAACAAAACAAAATCCAAAACTTCTCGGATGCTCACAGACTTTTTCTGAGCTTAAATGTTTCAGTAGTGTTCAGTGTTTAGTACTTCAGCGTTAGTAAATCTCTCAGTGCTGTAAATGATCACCTGTACATCCTGGAGGTAGTCAGAGCATTGAAGATAACAATCGCATGTATGTTTTTGAAAACTGTAACCATATAAATCCAAAATGGAAAAGGTCTTTTAGAGATGGTCCCAGCAGAGGTCAAAAATCTCTCCTAAGCATTTTGGGATGGGTTTTAAGTGCACTCAGGAGCTGTGGAAGGCGATCTCCTGGTATGCGGCAGACAGGTTGGTGCCTGGCTGTGCTGCTGCCCCTCAGCAAAGTGCTTCTGGGCCGTGGGAAATGATGGCAGGGCAGCTTCAGAGAGAGGCATTCGATCTCATCCTCAATCAAAGGCTTTTCCAATCCGAGGTGCTGAGATCTGCAGGGCCATTTATCCGACTGCTGCCCTTCGCTGGGAAGCAGGTGCTCTATTGATGAACTTCTGTAAATTCTGAAGCAAACTTAGAATTCTTCAGATGCAAAATATTCATTATTGCCTCAAGTGGTGATACAGAGCATCCAACCTTTAGTTCTCTGCATTTTTCCTTCAGATGTACCCATCTGTCCTGCAGGAGAGGGCAGCTCCCTGCTGGTGGCATCCTGAGAGTCCCGGCAGAACGAGCAGAGCCAGAAAAGAGAGTGCTGCAGCCTGGGTGCACCATAGTGCTGTTAGATTGGGGTTCTCTTGATATCCCTTTAATTACTGTGCTAATTAAAAAATAGCGATTTTCAATAAGCTTCTGTAAAAACTGTGGAAGCATCTTTGTTCAAATGCTTTTTAAAAATAATCAGCTCTCAAAATTGGAGCTCCCAGAGCAAAGGTATCCTCATTGTGATACCTCAGGTCTGTCAGTACTGGTAACAATTGTTAGACTTTACATTTAATTCTAAACAGGTTAATAAAATACATTAATTCCACGTTGAGTCTTACACAGATAACTTCCAGTGAAAGAAAAGGAGGAATTCCATGCCTTATTTTGCTCATATCTCAGTGTTTAAGTGATGGAGCACGCAGCAGTCAGAGTATTTGGGTACGGATCCCCCACACCTGTCTGTCACAGTGCTGAGGTGCAGCTCTGTGGGGTTGGGGCGGTGCGCAGGGCTGCAGACAGGTGCACAAACACTGCCCCTTTGAGGTGCTACCTGCTCTTTACTGGACATTTATTGCAAGTCGATGCAATTTCACAAAGCACCTGCATGCAATAAAAACCTATTACATGTGTGAGGCCTTAAGGAAATTAACGGTTCCTCCCTAGGGATGCATATTTTGTTAAGATGTTTATTACAGATGAAGTGGTCCTGGGGTAAAACATTAACAAGTTGTAGAGTGATAAAAGGAATTTTATCATTTCTCAGTGACATAAATAGGAAGAAACCTTTAACTAAATCTATAAAATTCCTGATTCCTAATGAATTTGCTTTAACTATTTATTAACTGGCTGGGCCCATTCACGCTGCAATTTGCTTTTCTTCTTTCTGTCCCCTTTTTCCCCCGGCGCTGTCTGGGATCTGCTCTGAGCTCCGCTACACAGAAAAGAAACTTCACCTCTGTATCAGCTTAAAAATAATAATAATTCTCCCTTGTGAGTTTAAGGCAGAGCAATAAAACTCTGTAATCAGTGTGATACTGATTTTCATCATTGAATGTGACCTTAACATTCTGTACTGTTGTCGTAATGTCAGCTCATACCACTTAAGTCATGCGTTATATTTTTAGGTTCAGAATGGTAACTTATTTTTTTAGTTACTTTTAGAAATGCAAATTCTTTTTCAATGCCATATTAACGGAGTTTGTCTGTATGCCATTATTAGAGATGAAAGCAGAGAACACTGGCTTTGGACTAAGAATGCTCAATCTAATTGAATTATATGAATGTAGTTAAATGTCTACTTCAGAAAGGCTATATTCACTTTCAAGATTAGTTACTCCAAGAGTTAATGGGCTATTTAAACAACATAGTCCAAGAGCCAAACACAGGTGGGCTGTGTTAATAACTTTATTTAAACCGTTTTTTCCCCTTTTGAGAGGCACAAGCCATCCATTAATGCATTCATTAGAGTTTATGGCATAGTTCTGCTTTTCTCCTAATGACACTATCCAGACTCAAACTTGCTCAGCTAATTTAGCCCAGCTGCCCTTTGCCTCTCAGCAACAGGTCTCCTGTTCTTTGGTCAAATGTGCTGAAGTGTCACGATGATTGGTTTTTGGTCATTGCTGCTCTTTGCAACATTCTTTTGTGTATTCTCTGCACCACAATTTACTTTTTCTTCCATGTATTTTTGCTGAAAAGTTTGTGTAAAGCAGCTGTTGGAGGGGGCAGTGCAGAGCCATCCCCTGCTTGCTGCAGCGTTGCATTCCAATGTGATTGAACATTGCGCTTTATTGCCTTACTCTGACCAAACAAGCTCACGGGTTTTAATATCCAGTTCTGCCAAGGGTATTTGTAGCAGTTCCTTGCAACTGCAGCATCTAAGCTTTGCCTTGACTTTTCAGTTCTAAATCCAATCTAAAAATGCTTTTTACTGATGTCATTACCGCTGTAAAATATATAACTGAGGACAGCAGTGCCTGTTTCTCACAGTAGCTGTGGCGCAGGTAACCTGTATATGTTTAGCAACGAATTCCCCAGGTGCCAATGAACATCACAGTGAATAAGAATGGCCAGTGTGTCACTCCAAAATTAGCAGACAGGAACTACGTGGGTGGATTAGAATCTGCACGGTCAGCTGCTGACATTAGCAGGGCTTTTTGGAGCACTTTTTTCAGTTTGGGGCTGGCATGCACAAAGTTCTGAGGATTCTGTGCTAGCTGTGGGCTTCCAGCCTGAAACGCCACTGCTGAGTTGTGCAAATTGGGAGAGCTGTCTGCACCACTACTGGGTGAAGTGCTGGATGAGCGTCATGCTAAACCACTGCCTTAAGGTTCACCTGGCTGTGTCACTGCAGCGTGGCACAGGGCATTCAGTTCACGTTTGAATTCATCTGTTAAAATTGAAGCTAAAGTGTAGTGCAGAAAGGCAGTCTGGAGAGAAGCGTGCCAGGTCGCTGAGGTGCTCTGCCCAGGTCCCGTCCGCCTCTCTCCATCCACTGCAGCACCAAACCCCTCTCTGAGGCAGAGAAGCAGTACCTGGATGCCAGGCTTCTCCTGCCACGAGTAAGTTGAAATGGCTGGGGGATGGGGGGCTCCCCAGAGCGGGGAAGATGGCAATGAAGAGAACCAGGAGCCTCGAGCCTCTCACTAATGCTCCTGTTCACATTCGTGCAGTTCCAGGGAGTTTTGTGCCCAGGACCAGGTCTTTTCTGCTGTGCAAAATGGAAATAGTTCATTAGAGAGCTGCTGCTAAGGCTCTGGAGGAGAGGCAGAGCCTGAATGTACGCAGGTCTCACCACCTGTAAACCTGGTGGGGAGGGAATCTTCACCTTCAGTGCCGATGAACCGAACATTTCCATACACCTTCATTTTGGGTGGTCTCAATTTTGTCTTTGATTTACACAATTTTTACATTTTATTCTGGAAAACTGTTTTGTGCTGCTCATAACTCACTCAAAGTCCCTTTTCATCCCTTGTCCTGGGGTTCCATCTGCATGGAGGAATGCCCATGTGGGTGTCAAATGTTTGGAGGAAGAGTTTTGGAGCAGGAGCTCTCTGGTTGTGTTGTGGTTAGAAACGTGCACAGTGATCGCTGTGGGATGGGCAGGGCAGGCACGCGCAGCTCCCACTGCACATAGGAGCCAGATAGCACCATGGTGCTGTAGTGACCTCCTAGAATGGATGCAGGGAACCCTATGAGAGCAGATCTGTCATCCATGAGTTCTTCTGCATAATTTCTGCTAAACATTTGAAGGCATTTTCTCCTTTTTGGTACTTTGTTGTGAACTGCTTTATTACTCTGAGGAGCTTGTCTGGCACCGGGAGCAGACAGCCATACTGCTGATGCTGCTCTGATGCAAAGCATCTGAAAGCCATTGCAGCACAAGTTAGGTTTTGTCACTCTGCCCAGTTAATGGGTTCCTCCTCCCTGTGCCAAGATCCTTATTTCTAGCAGTGAGAGAGATGGTATAATTGTGCTCCCTTTGTTGTACCAGCACAGGTGATGCTCTCAGCTGGAGGACCAGGTGAGAAGTGTGAGATTGCACAGCAGCACCAGTCCAGCCTCAGTGAAATCCCAAGGCACTGCTTCTAAGACTGCGATACTCAGAAATTGGAAAGTGCTTTATAATTAACACCTGGGATGGACACTGAGCTGGGAACCATTGTTCATGGTGCAGCAATCCCTGTTGGGCATTAGGGCAGCCCTGTAGGAGCTGTAGCTCTGTATGAGCTGGCTGGGGGGCCTCATGCTGCACAGAGCAGTGAGCGCACATCTTCCTGCTGCATCCGCCCTGCAGCACAGAGCTACGGCGTCCCCATTGTCTGCAGATTGGTGTACACAGAGACTGAAATGAGAAATAAATGCCATGGGAGGATTACTTGCTTTTCTCAGCTGCAAGGCAGGGCAGAGGCAGTTGGTACCAGAGGGTCTGTTTCTCGCTAAATTCTGTTTGTAAATGTTTGTGGTCCATGAAAATGTTGTTTATTGTTGTCGTTATGCCACTGCAATATTTAGTGTATGTCCTGCTGTATTTACTGGTGTTGTGTGCGTGTGCTGCAAGTGAGCTGCGTGGGGCTGGGAGGAGGCGGCTGCAGCCTCTGCTGTGTGCAGCGGTGCTCTGGGCCCTCCCTCCCTCCCTCGGGAGAAGGGCACGCTGCAGGATGCAGGCAGTGTTACCAGGGGTTACCTGCAATCTTTTCCTATTCTTTGTAACTCCTTCCTTTGACATTTGGCAGGCTTCATATAGGCGAGTGAATTCCCTATGTGCTCTGCAATAATGTAACGATTAGTGAATGCTCTCAGCGGGTTTGGATGTGAAAACTGGCTCCGCAGAAAGGAGAGCAGATTGGACAGACATCAACAATGTGTCTGGGCGAATTGGAGCAGGATGGCAGGGTGGAAACATCGCGTGACCCTGATGCTTTCATCTGCAGTAGCAGTGAAAGAGTTAATACATTAGTTAAAATGATTTTTAGCATGAGTCTGAGCTGGGGCTGACAATCCATTATTCATAACTCTTTGGAAACCTGTAGCTTAATTCTTTTCTTTTTATTTCATGATTTACAGAATATTACACCAACTGCAAGCACTTTGCAGTCAGGCTTTTATTGTACGTTCTGAAGTGAAGAATTATGGTTCAGGATTCACAGCGAGTAAATGCGCTCTGGTGTTTATGCATCCTTTTTATCTTCTGCCCCATCCAGAGCTTGTCCCCTGCTTGCAGCAGGAACTCCTGCCAGGTACAGCAGCAAGCAGTGCTGCAGCAGCTTTGCTGTTGCACTTGAGATGTGGAATGCTGGGCAGAAAGGAGGAGGTGCTGCACTCCATGCAGAGCAGCTGTTCCTGTGCTCCCTGCGCATTGGCCAGCGGGTGCGTTGTGGGCATCTCCATAGTGCTGGGGTGAGGACCAGCACCACACTGGGTGCAGGCCAGCACTGGAGCTGGTTGGAGCTTGAGGTGAACGTCCTGCTCCCATCAAGGAGTGGGCTGCTGGAAGGAGCATGTTTTGGGCTGGCTGGAGGCTGAGGAGCTCCCTCGTGCAGCACCCTGCTGGTCGGCTCCAGGGACGGATCCCTCTGCGGCACTGCAGGTCGCCGTTCCAAGAAGGTTGTTAGGGGTGGTCCATTCTCCAAAGAGCGCTCAGGTGCCTCTAGGGCAGCTCTCCTCAGTTCTGGAAGAACAACGGCAACGAGGGATAATTTTTCATTATGGACAAAAGAATTATGAGGTACAAACGAGCGTGCCCAAGAAGATTAATAAATTACTTGGGATTAGCATCAGTGATGGGTAGCTCTGTGTGCGCCGCACTGGCCTGGCAGGACAGAGGGATCCTGCGCAGTGTTTGTCGCAGATCAGAAACGCTATAACCCCTTGACAGATGCCACGTAGATCTTCATTTCCAAATTCGCCCATCTGAGAAACATCTGTGCGCTTAGGCTGGCAAATCTCAAGGAATGCTCTGCCAAGCAGCCGGCTTCCGCTTTTATAGCTCTGTAATCCTCGCTTGGGATTCCTCCTTTAAAAAGAATGGAAGCGTGCGCAGCTCTCTGGGAAAGCTGCGTAGGTCCGGGAGAAGTCTGTGAAGAAAAGATTCATGGCATGATCAAAAAGAACCCAGGCTTTTACAGACAGGGCTCACCGGGTGCTTTGAGCGGTTGTAAATAATAGTAAGGAGGAGGGAAGGAATTAAAGAGCCAAGCACGAGGGCTGCGTGAGGCACCGCCGCGTGTCGCTGCTCCTCACTGCACGACAGCAGTGGGGTCACAGCCGTGGGCTCCGTGGTGCGGGGCTGTCAGTGTGCTGCAGGCCGGGCCTGGAGCAATGTGGGGTCAGTTTGGGATCTGATGTGAAGGGATTGTCAACTGCAAAATGAGCTCTTCTGAGGAGTTTGCAGTGGTTTGGTCATCTCATGTGACACAACTGCAGAGCTGTTGGTGTCCACCCCCCCCGGCCTGCAAAACCCAGCAGCCACCTGAAGCACTCACACCGCAGGGATCTGCGTCTCAGGGGCATCAGATCCTCCTCCCAGCAAATGCTGTTTGCTCCTCCCAGCACTGTGACATCCCAGGTAGTGCAGCTACCAGCAGGTGCACGTTCCTGCAGCCTCTGCTGGCTGCACCCACATTTGCACTGTTTGCAGGTTGCTGCTCTATTACTTCAGGGGTAAATATTCCTGCTTCT